GAAGGAGGGATTTAAGCTACCTTGAAGAAAGTGGAAAAAATTAGAGGTGGTATTAAGGAGAGACAGCATCCCAAACTGGCCAGAGAGTTGATGATCACATTTGATATTTCTTCTTAGCTCTCTCTTCTTTTCTTGGATTTGTATTGCTTGTCTCCCTCCCCTCTTCTCCACCCCCAATCCTGGAATGTCCCCCCTGTGTACCTCTACCTTTTAGAATTCCTAAGGAACTTCGAGGCTCAGTAGTTATCTACCTCCGATAGTTAGACTGGATCCGTGTTATTTATACTTGCATATATGCACGCTGCCTCCCCTTCACTAAACTGTAAGCTCTCTGAAGGCAAAAACTGCTTCACTTTTGTCTTTATACTCCAGTGTACAGAATGGTACCTGGCACATAGCAGGCACCAAATAAATACTTGATGATTGGTTATTCTAAAAAGGTGAAATTCAATTCGAATAACTAGAAAACTCCACACAATCAACTTCACAAGTACAAGTTGGGAGAGGTGTGCCTGGAGAGTAGTTTCTCAGAGAAAGATGTGGAAGTTTTAGTTGGCTACAAGCTTAACACATCAACGACATGATAGGAGAACCCTTAACAGATAGGCAACAGCACGCTATTAGGCTGCACTGAAAAAGGCACTGTTTTCAGAAAGGGGAATGTGATAGTACCCCGCACTGGTTAGACTGGTCTAGAGCACTGTATTCAATCTTGAGTACCACACTTCAGAAAGGGAATTGGTAAATTTGAGCAATCAAAATTTATATTCCTTTGGCAGAGCACCTGCAGTTAAGGATAAGATTCCCTATGTGGACAGAGGAAGAGGGAGGGAGGGAAAAAAGAAAAGAAGGAAGGAAAAAAGGAGGAAGGAAGAAAGGAGGTAGGAAGGAGGGAGGGAGTGAGGAAGGAAAGAAGGAAAAAAGGAAGGCGGGAGCTGCATTGCCCAACTGGAACTAGCCAGTTGGGTCCCCAGTGGAGCAGCTACTACTACTCACAGATCGTTGTTTGTTCTTTGTTCTCAAAGAGGACCATGACATCAGGGAGGTGATGTCATGACCTGCAAGTGTACTGGATGTGAGGAGAGGTGTGTAAAGTCACCAGCCTCATTCTCTCCTCCAGCCGGAGCCATCTGAGTCCAATGGCAAGATAGATAGATAGATATAGATATAGATAGATAGATAGATCACACAATTGGCCCTGGATGCAGTAAGAGAACTTGGCCTTTTTAAGCTAGACATCTCTTGAGGAGAGAGTGAAGCTGGTGACTTAGCACAACCTTGCCTCATTTAAATCCAATTCACTTGCAAGTCATGACATCACCTTTCTGATGTCATGGTATTCTTAAGAGAATGAAGGACAAACGATGATCGTAAGTTAAGAGTGTCCAAAGAAGAAGCACCAAGATGGTGGAAAGCAATGAGATCATGTTATATGAAGGATGGTTGAAGGAACCATACAATCTTTAGCTTGTAAAAGAGAAGACAAAGGGGGACCATCGCTGTCAAATATGTGAAGACTTGTTATATGGAAATATGCTTTGCATAACTTCATATGTATAAGTGATGTGATACATTGCTTGCCTTCTCAATGGGTCAGGGAGGGGCTGGAGGAAGGGAGAGAACTTGAAACTCAAAATTTTTTTAAATGATGTTAAAATGAATGAATTAATTAATTAATTTTTAAAAAGAGCTGTCATACAGAAGGCTAGTAGGCTCAAGCTCTTTGTCCCAGAAGGTACACTAGGAACAAGGAGGCAGATTTTGGCTTTACATCAGGAACGACTTCCTAACAAAAAGAATTCCAAAGATTATCATGTGGCTCAAGAGGCAGTATGTTTAGTATGTTCCCCTATTCTGGAGGTCTTTAAGCAAAAGCTAAATGACCATTTATTGGGCATGTTGGAGAGGGGATTCTTTATTATGACATGTTAGACCAGGACACCTTCAAAGTGTTTTCCAAGTCTGTGATTCTGTGAAAAACTACTAGCAGAACCAAGGAGGCAAATGTCACAAGATAAAAAAATGCACCTCTGAATAGGCAGTGGAGAATACAAACCAATACAGCTTTTCTTCCCAAGTCTGAGGTACAACTAATTTCTAAAGAATTTATGCTTACAATGAATTACTCAATAAGGAAGGCTTTTCACAATCAAACACTTAAAAATAAATATGCCTTTGTCAGCCTTTTACCCATTTACTCTGTTGTAGCCATTCCCATTTCGAAATGAAGTCATGCCACAAAGCAATTACAAACACATCAAAACCAATGCACTCTTCTACAATGTATCATTAAAAACAAATGATAATCAACAGATACTACTTATCACAAAAAACTCACTTATTTTTTTAAAGTTGTCTTTTTTAAACTGCTCTCTTCCAAATCCCTTATTCTAATAATCTACATTCAATTTTCATACTTTTTTTCAAATTTGCCCCCTAAATCCTATTAGAAAAGTGAGCTTACTGACACAACAGTGTTGAACTTGGAATCAGGAAGACCAGGGTTCAAATCCTGCCTTTTAGATTTATTACTTATTAGCAGTGTGACCCTTGGGAAGTCATTTAAATCTGTAAAATATAGATAATAATTGCACCTATCTCACAAGATGGTAGTAAGAATCAAATGAGCAAACACTTGTAAAGTCTTTTGCAGATCTTAAAATGCTAAATAAATGCTATTATTATTATAAGGCTAGTGAAAATATTAGAAAAAGACCTTGTCTATGTTACGGAGAGGTCATAGATAATTCACTACTTTACAATGGGCAAAGTCACAGACAAAACTGCATTATAACAAACCCCAAACCACATTCAAATTGGTTACAATGGAATTTTGAAATTGTAAGTACATTGTAAAAGATCAGTTAACCGTATCTGATAAGGAAAGACCTGCCACTAAAAGTGAAAATTATGAATTAAAAAGAAGTTTCTGCTACTTGAGACTCAACATGCTCAAAATCTACCTCTCTTCCAAACTTCCTTACTTCTGTCAAGGGCATTCCCATCCTTCTAGTCATCCAGGATATCAATCTTAGTATCATCATTCTCCAACGGCTCTCAGTTACCTCTAGGATCGAATATAAACTCTAGCATTTAAAGCTCTTTGCAACCTTGTCCCAACTAACCTTGGGGTAACCTGGCTTACACAAATATAGAGCACTAACTAAACTTGGAGTCAGGAATATGTTCAAATCCCACCTTAGACTTTAAACTAGCTGTGCAACCCTGAAAAAAAAGGTCACAATTTCTCTAAGCTTCAATTTCCTTATCCGTAAAATGAGAGGAGAAAGAAAGGGAATAAACATTTATAAGTGCTTTACAAATTTTACTCTCTCATTTTACTCACACCATCCCTGGTATTATAAACCAGAGGTTAAGTGATTTGCCCAGGGAGTGTTTGAGGCCAGATTTTAACTCAGATTTTCATGACTCTAGGCCCAGCACTCTATCTACCCTATCAACTGTCTCTGAAGTATCTGATATAGAAAATAAGGAATGAATTGGTGACTTTCTGCTTAATTGGAATACTCAGGGCTCCAAAATTTCTAGACTGTACTGAATTCAGTATTTTTTTAAAAGGAATAATCCGACTGGGATAAAAAAGCACAAGTTATGAATCTCCATAAGGTCAGCAGTTCTCCATTGATGGATAGCTCCTATTACCATCCCATGGCAGCAAATACATTCCACGATATTGTTTATGACAAAAACAAACAGAACTCAGCCACACTTCCTCCTGGAACATAAGAAATTTGATGCAATAACTAAAGAACTAGAGTTATTTCCAGGAAGAAGTCAGGGCATGACTAGCAATGACTACCTCAGCGCTGACTGATCTCATTCAAACTGAGACAAAAGTCAATTTATGGAAGGAAAAAGATTGCTAAACTATAGAAAGTGGGCATTTAAAATCCAAAGAGAAACACTAAGGACAAAAGAGAGTCAAGTAAACTACACCTGGTCTTTTTAGTCTACCTTGTAGTGTCTCTAGTATCCTAAACTAGCAAATGTGTGTGGAGGTCCCACTTCCAATTCACCAGTCCCATCTACAGGACAACATCCCAAAGGCTTAACTCTGCTTTCAGAACCAAGACCAGACAGGGGAGGGGTGTATCGCCTCATTTCCATAGTTTTACACTCAACTCACAGACTTCGGAGTCTGACCTTGAGAGCTTAGATGATGTGAGGTCAGGACTAGAAGGAATGGGGAAGAGGTGGAGGTGGGGAGAGACAATTCGAAGAATAAAGAAAGGCCCTGAGCTGAGAACTGTGTGGAGAAAGGGGGGAAGCTGGAGGGGAATATTTAGGGTAAAAAGAAAAGCGGGATCCCGAGTAAAGGAGGGCAGGGGTAGGCATGGGTAAAGGGGGATGATCCCAGGGTACAGTGGGGAGAAAAGGAGAAGGGGAGCCCAGGGTAAAGCTCCTGGTAAAGGAGTCGGGGGAGCCTGCGGTACAGTGGGCGGGGAGAGCCCAGGACATCGAGAAGTGGAAGACTGGAGTAAATTGAGGGGGAGTCCAAGCTAAAGCTCCTGAAGACGGGTGGGAGGAGCCCAAGGTACAAAGGATTGAAAGCCTGGGGTAAAGGGGGGAAGGAGTGCAGGCAAAAGCTTCCAGGTAAAGGGGTGAGAGGAGCCGGGGTACAGAGAGGTGGAAGCCTGGGGTAAAGTAGAGGGGGGAGTTTGGGATACAGAGGGGTAGAAGCCTGGGGTAAAGTGGGGGAGGGGAGCCCAGGGTAAAGCACCTGATAAAGGAATGAGAGGAACCCAGGGCATGGGGGGGGGTGAAAGGGAGGGTGAGCCCAGCGCAAAGGAAGGGTTGAAGTTAGAGGATAGTGGGAGGAGATCAGGAGGGGATGGCTCTGGCTCAGCGACCCCAAGGCCTATTATTCCCAGCTCAGCCCTTCCCCTGCCCCAGGCTCCGGCGCGCGGCGCGCCCCCTGAACCCTCAGCAAAGGAGAGGGACAAGCCAGATGCCCCAAAGGGAGCGGGGAGGCTACGCACCTGCCTGCGCCGCTCCCAGTGCTGGCCCCAGACACGCCAGCAGCAGAAGCCCCAGCAGCCGCTGCCACCGCCGCCGCCGCCGGCGCCCCGAGACGCAGGAGAACGAATCCATGCAGGTTCTTTCCACGGGCTCAGCTCACTGCTTCGTAGCCTCCGCTTCCTCCATCATCCCAGACCCGGCCCCGAGCGCTAAAGGCAGCGCGCGCACGCGCAAAACAATCCCGATCCCAAGCCCCACCGGGACTGAGCCGGGAACAGGGCACTCCGCCCACTCAGCGGGCCACGCCCCATACTCTGAATGCTTTCCCTCCCCTCCTTTCTCCTCTCTTCCTTTTCACGTGAGACTCCGCAAGGGCCAATGTGGGAGTGTCCATCACAAGGCTCCGCCTCTGGAAGGCCTTGAAGTGGAGAGGGGGGTGGGGTCAAGTGAGGGCTTCCATTGGCCGGCTCACAGCGAGAGGCGGGGTTGTGCGGCGCCTCCAGCTGCGGCGAGGCGGCCTAGGCCGAGAGTTCCAGGCTTAGCTGTGCCGGGGCCTGGATTTCTATCCCTGGCCGGGTGACGGCGACCACCCGCCGGGAGGATGGTGTTGGGGGGTTTCCCGGTGAGCTACCTGCTACTGTGCGGCCAAGCGGCGTTGCTGCTGGGTAACTTGTTGCTGCTGCACTGTGTGTCGCGGAGCTTGTCGTACAACACCACGGTCGAGCCCGAGGCCATGGCCACCGGATCTGCGGGCACGGCCCGCCTCGAGGGCCCCGAGACGCAGATGCTGGTGTACACGGATCCCCGCTCCCCGGTCATCCTGTGCGCCTTTCTGTAAGCGGCCCAGGCTCCGGGAGGCAGGGGAGCGAGCGTGGGCTGGAAAAGGACGCGCGGGACCCCGTCCGGTCCTGCGGCCGCCGCCGGGGAGAAGGGTGACCCGGCAGACGCCACCTGCTTTCCTGCTCCGGGCAGGGAAGGGCCGGTGATGCGTGCGGCTGTCGGCAGTTGGGAGTGGAGCTCCTGGCGTTAGGGAGCTTGGTACACTGTTCAGATCCGCAGGGCCTGGTAGGGACCTGGCTTTGGGGAAGGGAAAATGGGGGTTGGGGAAGACTGACTTTCTTCGTGGAAAGTTGAGTAACTTAATTCCTCGAGGATTTATTATGAGTCAGCCCCGTACTGGGTGCCTAGTATTTTGTGAAGCTGTTTGAAGATACCAAAGGCCTTGCCCACAGGGATCATAAAATAGGATTTCAGATTCTGTACCTTTTTAAACCCTTCTCCCCCCAAAAAAAAATTTTAAAAATTAAAAAATTAAACCCTTATCCCGCCCAAAAAAGAACCCCTAAAACCTCTAGTTATCTCTTCCTTTGTCCCATTTACATTCTCTTGGCACTGGGGTTACCTTGGGTTTTTTGAAGGGTTCAAATTTGAAAGGTTTTGAGTTCCTGCAAAAGGAGGAACTGGGTGGTTCTGAGAGCCAGCCTAGCTGACTTCAGAAAAGCCCACCCCCAGAATATTAGCCACCAGGTGAGATGAATTTTTGGGGCCACAGCAACTCATGCAGATGTCTAATAAAACAGGAAGTAGTTGTCATCTAGCCCACATCCAGTAAAATATTACATCTAGTGAAATATGTTTTGATGGGGGTAACATAAAACTGGGAAATCCATAGCATTGGGAAGATAATTTTGATACTAAAACCCAGGATGGAGAATATGTGGCTGTAGAGCAACTTGTACCTGAAGTCCTCTAGATTTTTTCTGAACTGCAAGCTCCCTGTGGAAGTTAGCCCCAGAGCATGGCAGCCACAAGCTGATTTTGTCTAAAGCTGTAATAAAAGAAACAAAATGGGGAAGGTTATAGTCCCACTGGCTCTTGCCCTGGTCAGACTACATCTTAAGTATCCTTCTTTGGTTCTTGGTACCATGTATAATAATAGATAGCATTTATATAGCACTTTAAGATTTGCTAAGCATTTTACAAACATGATCTCATCGATCTTTACAAGAACCCTGGAAGGTAGGTGCTATTATTATCCTTACTTTACAGATAAGGAAGCTGAGTCAAACAAGAGGTTACATGAGGTAAAGGGTCAGATAGCTAGTAAGTGTCCAAGGACAAATTTGAAGCTAGGTCTTCCTGTCTCACAAGTCCAATGTGCCCTCTTCACTATTCCACCTAGCTGCCTAAAGAAATTGACCAATGGGAGCTTACCCAGAAGAGAGCAATCAGGATTGGAGGCCTCAAAACCATGCATGAGTATTGGTTAAAGGACCTGAGGATGTGTTGCATGGTAAAGAGTAACTTGGGGATATAACTGCTAACTTTAAACATTTGAGGGGTTGTCATGTCAAAGAGGGATTACATTTGTTCAGTTAGAGCAGTAGGACTGTAAGTTGTAAGTTTTAATTTAATAATTTATAATTATAGGAATTTAATTCATTGCAAGTTGTAATTAGAGCTGTCCAAAAGTGGACTTAATGACTTCTAGAGTCAGTGGGTTCCTTGCCATTGAAGTTCTTTAAGCAGAGGCTGATTGATCACTTGTTGAGATTGTTTTAGAGGGTTTTTAGAAGACTTGGGTCCAAATCTGGCTTATGACAATTACTACCTACCTATATGACCTTGAACAAATCACATAAACCTTGGACCTCCTGCCAGTTCTAGATCTCTGATGCAGTGTACTGTTCCTTCTCATTTTAGGATTCCACAGATCAATTTGTTTTAGAGCTTTTTGATGACCAATAGTAAAATCTGAAATGGCTATCCTGAAAGGTCATTATAATTTGTGCTGAGATTCTGCCACCTTGTCCACTACTCTCAGATCATAACACAATATTTCAGAAGGAGCGTATTTGATCCCTCTTTGACCAGTCTAACTGACAAAAGTTTGTGAAGGGAGGAAAATGGGGAAATTTACATTGTCTGACTGAGATGAAGGAATATGCAAGATAAATGGCTTTATATGAAGGTCTATTAACAATGTTCATTTTACTGGTGGTTTACAGGCCTGATGAATTTATAAAATGTGATGACCCTGTGGATCATGTTGGAAATTCAACTGCCTCCCAGGAACTGGGTTATGGGTGTGTCAAGGTGAGTTTTTAATAAACTATTCCACATAGAATATTCTAAATATTCTCACACAAATAACTGACACTTTCTGGTAAATACCATTCAAAACTTTTATTTTTGAAGGAAAAAATGCAGTTTAAATCCCATTACAACAAACATCAAGGGAATATCCAAATTATTTTGTTGTAATGGAATTTCATTCTAGTAAGCATTACTGTAGAACACATTCCCAAGTCCAAGGGCTATAGGTAAAATAACCTCTCTTAAAAGAGGTATGTTTTCTAGGCAAAAGCTGCCCATGTGTCAAAACCAATATCCCTTTGACTTGGCCCTACCTTTGGCTTCTTAAAATTAACAGAAGCTTTTTGATTTTTTTTTAAATCTTACCTTCAGCCATTATTCAGAACATGTCTTTTATGAAGCTCAAAGAAGAGTGAGAGATAATAAACTAGCCAGTAGAAGGAAAGCCAATCACCATTGTGAGTTAGCCTCTGAAAAACACTTGTGACATTCAGACTCAGGGTGAATAATCTGACCAATTAACTCTTTTCCCCTTGAGTACTGTTTTTTGAGTTTGTACTATTAACTCTTCAATAATTAGATTTTTTTTCCTCAGTACTCAAATGAATCCTTCCGGCAGTGCAGATCAAAGTCCACCCATGCCAGTCCATCCTGTGTGATTCTTGTCGAGGTCCTCCCACAAATTTCCTCTAGGAGGGGCCACCCAATAAGCCGGAAGGCTTCCTTGTCTTCTCCTGACAATGAGAATTTAACTGTCCATCTCTCTTCCTATTCCTTTTCTTCATATCACATATGTCATTTACTCTTTTTTAGAATTAATTACTTACAATTTACAGCCTGCTCATACCCACCATGCAGTACTCAATTGATGTCTATGTGATACTTTTTTTTATCTTCCTTGAGGTAGATAGCATTTTTCATCATGAGTCCTTCAGAATTCTCTTGGATCATTGTATTGATCAGAGTAGCTAAGTCTTTCACAATTGATCGTTATCACAATTTTGCTGTTACCATATACAATGATCTCCTGTTCTGCTCATTTCACTTTGCATCGGTTCATATAGGTTTTCCCAGGTTTTTCTGAAACTATCCCCTTTATCATTTCTTATGGCATAATAGTATTCCATCACAATCATATACCACAACAGATTCAGCCATTTTCCAATTGATGGGCATCTCCTCCATTTCCAAATCTTTGACACCACAAAAAAAGCTGCTATAAATACTTTTGTACATGTAAGTCCTTTTTCTTTTCCTTTAATCTCTTTGGTAAACAGACCTAAGTAGTAGTATAGCTTGGATTAAGGGATGTGCACAGTTTTTAGCATATGCCTTTGAGCATAGTTCCAAATTGTTCTCTGTAATAGACCACTTTGCAACTACACCAACAGTTCATTGGTGTGCCTATTTTCCTCCTGAATCCCCTCCAGCATTTGTCATTTCTGATTGGTACCTCAGAATTGTTTTAATTTGCATTTCTCTAGTCCATAGTGATTTAGAGCATTTTCATATAGATAGCTTTGATTTCCTCTTCTGAAAATTGGGTAATGGTTCTTATTTATATAAATTTGGCTCAGTTCCCTAAGTATTTGAGAAATGAAGCCTTTCTCAGAGAAACTTGCTGTAAAAATTTTTATATTATTTCATTGTCTAAAGTAACTTAGTAAAATGTAGGTAATTCTAATTATCTCTTTTAATTAGGTCTATTTTTTTAGGGGCACCTGGGTGGCACAGTGGATAGAGCACTGGCCCTGGAGTCAGGAGGACCTGAGTTCAAATCAGGTCTCAGACCAGACACTTGACACTTACTAGCTATGTGACCTTAGGCAAGTCATTTAACCCCAGTTGCCTCAAAAAAAAAAAAGAATTAGGTCTATTTTTGCTTTGTCTGAGATCATGATTGCTATTGCTGCCTTTTTTGCTTCAACTGAAACATAAATAGATTCTACTCTAGCCCCTTATTTTTAAACTTGTCTTTCAAGTATTTTTTCTAAATAACATATTATTAGGTACTAGTTTCTAATCCATTCTGCTCTCTGCTTCCATTTTATGGGTGAGCTCATCCCATTCACATTTATAGTTATGAGTACTATTTTTTTCTCTCCATCTGATTTTCCCCTCTTTATCCTTCTCTCTTTCTTTTTAGCCTGTCCTCTGTGATACTTATTTTTAATTATTTGAAAGCAGTTGTATTTATTCCATGTCTCACTGCCATATAACATCATCATTAGGTTTTTGTATTAAAAAATGGGCCTTAGCTTTCAGGGGGACCTTGCTGCTTCCCAAAAGCATTCCCAATGAATCTTTTCCTCTTGTCTGCGGCCAATTCATTGTCCATCTGTACTGTCTGTTCCAAGAAAGATATGTTTACAGACTTAGTGCTGATCAAATCCAACCCCCTCATTTTACAGATGAAGAAACCAAGGTACAAAAAAGTTAAGTGACTTTCTCAGGACGTACAGCTAATAAGTGTCCAGGATTAGATTTGAACCAAGATCTTCCTAACTCCCAATCACAGTCCTCTATCTGCTACACCACGATGCCTTTCATATAAGATCATAGATGTAGATACATGTCTCTGGCTGTCTCTGTCCCCCTCTCCCTAGGCCAAACTATTTTGAATGATTACAGATCCAATCCAAGTGGCTCTGCAGTGTTCCTAGGCTTGATGCAGTCAGCACAATATAAATGACAAAGAGAAGCATGAGGAGGAGCTTACCATCCACAGGAAATTCCTCTTTGACCTGGGCTGTTTATTGGATCTTCTTTATCATAATGGCAAGCACTTTGGAAAGGATACATTTTGTTTTTTATGCCTTGCCTGGTCCAGAGGGTTGAATAAAATTATTTCTGTTGTTATATCTTTCACTGAATCTTGAATGACACTGACGTGTGAATGGGAGAGATGTTGATACTTTTTTTCTACCAAAGGAAATGCTTTTGTGTAATCAATAATTAGTGAAACGGGATCTTATATTTTCTATATCATTCAGTTAGTTGTGAAATAAAGATGTGATACCTGTTGCTTATTTCCTAATAATTATTTCATCGAGGATATTCCTGATTCATATATAGCTAACTCCCTTAAAAATTAAGTATAGGTAGGAGAGTGGGGGATGTCAGGTAAGTAGTTAGTGATGTTCTCTCTGTCACCTTTATTGAGAGTAATAAGGTCTGAGTTTGTTTTTTTGTTTTTGACTTTGATAACTTCGACCTTCTGATACCTGATTCCTTTGAAATACTAGTATACTGTATTTAGACCCTAATTGCTCTCACAATTGTGTTGTCTTCAACATGAATTGCCTCTTTTTATGTTTGGTCCAATCCATCAGTTTTTCCCTTCTTTGTTCTCTTCTTTGTTCTACTTCTTTAAGTTCATTCTGTACTGTGATGTTAGGGTCCAAGTATAGTGATTCCATTGCTCTCAGTGGAGGAAATGGTTGGTTATAATTATTTTTTGAGATATTTTTCATTTTTCATGTATTTGTAGCTCTCTTTATACTTTTATTTTGGAACACCCTTGAAACGATTTGACTTAGTTGGAGACCTTGCCAAGCTTCCTTTTAACTGATTTTACCCTCCACTACTTCCTTTATCACCCTTTGTTAAATTTTACAAATGATTTTTCATTCTAGCCATGTTTTGCCTTTGGCAGTCATTTCTTTCTTTGGTTAATAACTCAGATGTTTTCTGATTAAGGCTCTTTTAGAGGGGAATCTTCTGGCCTTGTGGCAGTTAATTTATAATACTTAAACTTCTGTATGAAGTTATAGTTAGTGTCAATGATATTTCCATTGTCTGTTGCCCATGTTTTATTTTCAATTACTTAAGTAGTTAAGGATTTAGTTGTTGTGCATCTTATCTTTTTCTCATTATTCATTCTTTTTTTTAACTAATTGTGATCTTAGCTTTCACAAGTTAATGATCTCACTGTATACAAAGAGGTGACTCAGAGATAACTCCCATATCAATAACAAGTCTTTTCCGTATATTAAAATAAAATCTATTTTCTATATGTTATTTAGTCATTTCAATTGTGTCTGACTCTTCGTGACCCCGTTTTGGGGTTTTCTTGGCAAAGATACTGCAGTGATTCAACATTTCCTTTTCCAGCTCATTTTACAAATGAGGAAACTGAGGCAAACAGTTGTCCAGGGTCTTGAAGGTATAAGGCCAGATTTGAGTTTAGGAAGATGAGGCTCCCTGATTCCAAGCCTGGTGCTCTATATGCACTTCACCACCTAGTTACCCTCTTGCCACATCCAATGCCTACCAATTGTTTTCTTGAAGGAAATGTTCCTGATCTAGTGAAGTTAGTTTTCTGTGTAATCTACAGATCTTTGCCTTTTTTTATTCTATATTCTTTGGCCATGTTTCCCCATACATTAGGTAGCTAGTTTTGCAGTGGCCAGAGTGCTGGGCCTGGAGTCAGGAAAACATGAGTTCAGATCTGGCTTCAGACACTTACTAGCAATGTGACCTAGAGCAAGTCTCTTAAACCTGTTTTCTTCCTTTTCCTGAACTACAAAATGGGAATAATAACATTTACTTCCCAGAGTTGTTATGGGAATCAAATCAGACAGTAATTGAGAAGTACCTAGCGCATAGTAAATGCTATATAAGTGTTAGTTTTATCATTTGCCCCCTCCTCAGTTTTTCTCAGTTTTGCATGTCAAGACTCATATGATTCAGCTCCTCCAAAAGTATGTCTGCTTGTTGGCCGATGGACAAGAAGCTCATACTTAGATTATCAACAGTCAAAATTTATTGATGGTCTAAAAAATGTGTGATTCTTGGTACTCTCACAGCTCTTTCCACCACATCTGCAGAAATGGAAAGGGTCTTTACAGAACTGAGGATCATGCTTTGTCTTTCTTTGTTTCCTGAGTTGCATGGACCAAAATAATTCACCAGCCTTTTGATATTTTTTGATATTCCTTTCCATAGTTAGCTAGGTTGATCCTTGTAAAACAGACTCGATCTGTTCCCAAGCCTTATGAGAAGCCTTTCCAACATGGTAGAACCTACCAAAGCTTATGTTCTGCTGGTATATCTTTGGAGAACCCAAGATTAACTTCACAGTGTAATGAATCACTAAAGTAGAACTTGGTTAAAGTTATTTTTCATCACAGTAAATTACTATTCTATGGATAAGAGATTTTTAATGTATTTTTAATACTAAATTATATATAAGGAGCTTTGTAGTTATTCAGTCTTTCACAAGAACCTACCAGATGTTAGGTACTGAGGGTACAATGAAACCAAACTACCGAGTTTTGGAATTAATTCATTACAGTTAATTTTTGTTCTAATTATAAAAGGATTTAACTTTGAGTTAGTGTCACCTTGGATTTTGAATTCTCAAAGGAGATTTAAAAGGAGCCTTTAGATGGATAGAAAAGAGGGAGCAGGGTCAGGAAGACCTAGAAAAAGGAGAGAGTCCAATAGAAGAGGGAAGGTCAATAGTTTCCAATACTGCAGAGAATTCAGGAAGAATAAGGACTGAGAAGAGATTATTAAGTCTGGAAATTAACTGGTAATCTTAATGCACTATTTTATATTCCTTTGAAATACTAGTAAATCATTTGTGCTGCTCTTGAGATGAACCCTGTGTTAATTTGTGTACATATTGAACCCTTCTAATAGATTGTAAGTCCCTGGAGAGAAGGAACTCTTTTGTTATTTTTTTGTTTGTTCTGGTTTTTTGTATCCACAGTATCTAGCACATTACCACCTATATGTTAGGCACTTTCATAAATACTTCTTGAGTTTAATTCCTAGGAATAACAAAAAATTGAGAGTTCAACATCAAAATGATCCCTTCAGATCCATACAGCTCTGTTTCATGATTTCCTATGTCTTTATATAATGGATATCTCAAATTGTTTTAAAATTGTAAATTCATAAATATTCCTTAGTCTATTCATTTTTCTATAAATATTTAATATTAATCATCTTTACCATTCCATCAAATAAATAGCACTTATTTATATTGTTATACTTTCTGTGTATTACTGAAAAAGTTATCACTTAATTCTCTGAGGAACTTTTGGAAAGCTAAATGATTGGAAACAATAAAAAAAATAGGACACGTGGGATAGACCTATTAGAAATTGGGGGGGGGTGAGTTAGCACCCTGCACCCTGATACACTGAGAGTAATTACTATTTTAAGAGTTTGATAAGTTATTTTTGGTTCCACAGTTTGGTGGCCAAGCCTACAATGATGTGGAACACACTTCGGTACAGTGCTACGCCCTGCATGGAATTGAATGTGCTGGCCCTAGAAATTTCTTACGAGAGAATAAACCATGTATAAAGTGAGTGTTACCTTGAAAGGTGGTTAGTCTGGAGTTCTTTCTCCATGTTTTTAGTTTGTCATTGCTTCACCCAACTTTTCCCATTAACTTGAATTTTGAAAGTTTAATGTAGCTATTTTGGTACACAGCTCAACCTTGAGCAGTATGGTAAAGGAGAAAAGATCTCTGGGAATTGGCGAGTCGGAGGCTTTAGTCCCAGCTCTATCATTAAATGTGTAAGTACAAAGAACATAGGATTTGAAGTTAGAGGACTTGGCCACTTCTGCTTGCTGTCTCTGGGATTTTGGGCAAGTCACTTTGCTGTCTGAGCTTCAGTTTCCTTCCTCATTTGTAAAATGAGGGGGCTGATTTCTTAAGTCCCTTCCAACTCTGAATTTATGAAATCTGCAGCTAAGATTAGCCATTCTTCTTCTCTGAGCCTAAGTTTCTTCTGCTATAACATGAAGGGTGTTGTACTAGGTAACTTCTAAGGCCCCTGCCAACTGTAGGCATTTATAGGCATAAATCCTGCCCAAGACAGTCCCTGTAGTACAGAAGGAGCCTAATAAGGAAGCAGGCTTCTCTCCACTGAAGCTCATTTTATTTATAGTTAAAACAGAAAACATGTACTTAAGGTCTCAGAATATAAACATGCCTTGCAGGCTACAGCAAGATAGTGAATGAATTTATTTATGGCTTGACCTTATGGCAGTTAATGAAACTGGGCAGTTAATGGTATTGTATTGTGGAGAGAAAACCCTGTGAAGAAACATGTTACAGCAGTTGTTATCACAGAATAACCTGAAAAAATTATAACAATTCAGAGGCCTTAGAGGAATTAGAATAAGGTATGACAATCCTTCCTAGAATAAATACAGTCAAAAAGAGCTCTGAATTACAGAAAGTCCTACATCCATAATTACCTATGCATTTCAATTTGACAAAAAGCCAGTAACTGTTTGAAATAATAGTTTTGTAATACTGTGATCAGTAGAGTTTATCTTAGAACGTATAGATAATTTCTTTGGCCTCCACCAGAGGGAACCAAAGTTAATTATTTTATCATAGCATAACACTACCTTTTTATCATTTCATTTAGGCTACAAGCATTTTAATTTTCCTATATTAAAGAATCTTTTCATTTTGTTTTCTAGGTACACTGGACACTACTTCATAACCACCTTGCTCTACTCCTTCTTCCTGGGATGCTTTGGAGTTGATCGCTTCTGCCTAGGACATACGGGTACAGCAGTAGGGAAATTGCTGACCCTTGGAGGACTTGGGATCTGGTGGTTTGTTGACCTTATTTTGCTTATTACTGGAAGGCTGATGCCTAGTGATGGCAGCAACTGGTGTACTGTTTACTGAAGAGAACTAGACTCGTTGAGAGTTGGTGTGGCATGGGAAAGTGAATGACCTTTCTGTCATGGCCTTCTCTCTACAAACTGCAATTTCTTCCACCATCTCAGACTAAATTGTTATTTTACCCTTTTTAGAAGAGAATCTGCTGGGGCCATGTTGTTGAACTTTAGATTTGGAAACCAGGTCTTAAGTTGCAGTCTGGAAATGATAAATAATGCTCTGAAAAATCAACTTTTTATCTGCAGAAAAGAAGGTATAAGTATGCTTGTTCAGACGTAAGCAGCAAGAGGATTTCTGTACCTTTTTGCATGCCTTCCCTCTACACTTTGGTCTTTTTGGAACATGTATTGAAATGTCATGAACAAAGTGAGCATTTTTAGAATGTACTTGGCCTATTATGCTTCATGCACTGGAAGATACCTGAGATGAAACCAACCATTGAAAATTGTCTTCAGCAAAAGGTGGAAATCGAAGTAGCTTTGAATGAATACTGAAACTCTGACTTAATTCTTATATTCCATAAAACGTTTGGCCAAATGGAAAAACTGTACAGGTATATTGTCATTTGAACAAGCAAAGTGAAGCCTCTAGTTCAGTTGTGTTATAAGAACCAAGTTTTGGTAATGCTGAACTGCTGTTCACAGCCCTAGGGTGTCACCATTGTGCCCCAGGGGTGTTATCTACTGTGTATAGAAGACTTCATTAAAATTTTGTTTTTAAAGAGGTGTCTGAGTGATGTATCTGAGATCAGGCATTTCTCTTGGCAGAAATTTCTCCTCTAAAATTAAGGGATCTAGCAACAGATAGAAGAATCACTGCTTGTGTAAGGGCTTTCACATAGATAACTGAGATGAAAATTCATGACTAGGAAAGTTATAGGTTGAGAGTCGTCATGTGCTAGCAAGGAAAAACAGGTTTCTGCCCTAAGAATTTCCATTCATTCAACAAGCATTTATTAAGCACCTATACTGTTCCAGGCAATGTGCTCAGCCTGCAAAATAAAACAAAAGCAAATACAAAAACAAAGGAGTCCCTACCCTCAGGAGTCTTACGTTTTATTTGGAATATTGGGGAGAAAATGGAAATCAAATACAGAGTTGTCAAATTTTAAAGCCAGAAGAGACCTTGGAAGTCATGGAGGTAGTTTGAAACAGAAAAAGTGGCGAATTGGGTATAAGGAGAAGGAAGCCAACTTGAACGTGCTCTGGAGAGCCAATTGTTAAATTTTTCAGTGTGAGCATTTACATCTCAGATGGACAAAAGCTACCGGTCAGTGCTTGATTTATTGTTTTGTTGATTGTCTTGGAGTTAAGAAAGGGTTAATGCAGACTAAACTTAAGTGTGTGTGTCCCACCCACCTATCCCAAGAACTGGTTGTTCAACATTTACCAAGCATGCCCCTGGAGGAAATGCATGTTCTGCCCCTGGAGGAAATGCATGTTCTGCCCCTGGCTATGTGATTTGGGGCAAATCACCTCTAGGCTTCAGTTTCCTCATCTGAAAAATGAGGGATTTAAACTCAATCTCAAAGATCCTTTCCTACTCTACAATTCTATGGTCTTCTGGTTTAGTGTTTTCGTGTGGGGGTTTTTCCCCCCTCTCCCGTCCCAGGTGTGTATCATATCAGTGTAAACAATAGTACTTAAAAAATCTTCCTATAGGCCAAAGCCACCAGTTGGGGTATTTGATCCAGTTTTCCCATTCGCAAAAGACTGGAGACAATCCTTTCTTCTTAATAACGCTGTTGTGTTTTGAATTACGAATGATTTTAAAGGTAAAAATTATTTTTACCTTTCCTGATTTAATAATTATAATTGCTAGCATTCATATAGCATTTTCAGGTTTACAAAATATTCTGTGTAGATTATATCATTTTAACTTGACAACCCTTAAGGGATTTGAAAACAGAGGACATGGGCTTGAATCTGGCTCTGTTGCTTCTTCTCTACGTGACCTCAGGCAAGTCATTTCCTTCTGTGAATCTCAGTTTCTTCAGCTGCAAAATGAATGCTATGGACTAGTGCATGGTCCTTTCCAAATCTAAATCTTCTGATCTTATGAAGTAAGCAACAAAGTGTGATGATTATGTTAGAGCCGCCTCCCCCCCCCCCACCCCACCACCACCAGAGAGATAGAGCTTGCCTGGTACATCTTTAGGTTGCCACCACTATGCCACCTTTTTATCTTTTTCAGGGAGAAAAGGAGTATACCTAACAATGGGTCCCCCCTTTTCCAACTCCATTTAGAGCTATCTATACACAGCCACCCCACTTAAGAGATTTCCAGGCTTTGAAAAAATGAAAAGTGGTTTGTCACCAAAAGATCGGGCCTCTGGCTTAGATCTCCTTTAGGAGTAAAATATAAAACTGTTCTTTGTCAAGTTGGGTTTAATTATTTTATAAATTCTCTTAATAAAGTCCAAATTGTGCTCCACTAACAGAATGTGCACTTTGGTGTCCTTTACTATTGGTTTGTGTGACCATGAGAATTCCCTAAAATTGGTTGCCTCAGGAGATAATAGTTTCCCTATCACCGGAGGTCTTCGAGCAGACTGGATGACCATTTGTTGGGGATGATGTACAGGACATCCTGGGTCACTTCCTAGATGCCTTCCAAGGGCACTTCCAACCAAGATTTTGCAGTTTAATTTCTCTAAGCCCATTTCCTTATTTATAAAATGGACATAACAATACTTTGATTCCAAGTTGCGGAAAAGGTACTGCCCTGCATCGGTAGAAAGTGTGTCCTTCACCTTCAAGTTCCTTATACTCATGAAATGACAGGTCTAGTGCTTATCCCTGTCACTTATAACTTCACAGGGGGATTATGAGAGAAGCACTTTGTAAACCTTAAAGCACTGCATGGATGTGAATTATTATTAGAAAAGAATAAATGTTTACCTAATTAGAGATCTAGATGGAATGATCAAAAGGATTTATTCTCTAAAGAAGAAGACCCCCAAATCTTTGGACTTCATGTCTTCAATATGGACCACCTAGTAGAAATTCAGTTTTGTTAGATAAGTTTGTCTCTAAATGGGAGCTCTGTTTAATTAATTATTTCAGGGATGATCGTCAGGACCACGTCCTCATTTCTCCGACGAACCACTAAGGAAATGGAGTCACTCTCTTTCATAGCTTCAATGACATCTGTGATGGAAGTGACAGGTTGTCCGTTTATGCTGGTAATCACATCATGGTTTTGAATCCCAGAGCTGGGGAAAAAGATGAAAGTAGAGAACTAGAGAAAAGGCTTTTGTCTTTACTAGACAAGACTACACATCCCTAAATCTAGAACATAACCTTATTTCTCATGTGGAATTTCTACTAGAAAGCTTGGGGATAGTTCTGCTTTATTCATCTTGGATTGTATTGGGAAAAATTAATCTCCAGTTCTAGACACCCACTAGCTTTCCAACATCCTGCTTCTACAGGTAAGGAAACAAATGGCCAACTTCCTCTGGATTTTCTCTCTTATCCCTGAGTTTCCCCATCAAGCTAACATTAGAACATAAAAATCTTATTGGCCCCAAGAAAAAGTGAAAACTGTTGTGTCAGGATAGCAATGTGGTTTTTCCCCATATATATCATCTGTTTGACCCTAACAGAAAGTTCTCTGGTTCTTTTCAAAACATTCCTATAATTAGGGAACATAATAAGCTGAACTATAGTCTGTGCTTTGAATAAATCTAAAAATGTAGGGTTCTGTCTCTAGCCTACCTTCTGAAGTGAAATTTTGATCAGCAAAGTTATATATTATAATCCTAGTTCACTGGTTTCATTTGGGAGACTAGATCATCAACACATAGAATCTGTTGTTCTTGATGTGTGAAAGAGGTTCAAATGTAAAAGACCTCAATAGAAATGTAATAGAGTTGTAGCTATGCTAATGTTTATATCTGAGACGTGACTGCCTCAGAAGGTACATGCCAGTAGATAATTTCCTAGTGGGAAATAGAGACTCATGATAAGAAATTAGGAGCCCCAACAATAGTTATGACACTTATGAGGAATGAAGTTAGGAAGTAACATGGGAAATTTTAAAGAAAAAATAAGTTTAGGAAGGATGGAGAAATTTTAGAGGAGGTGAGAGGTTTAAGAATAAAAAGGCTGAAATCTGAACTTTTAGAATTGGGTTAGCTTAGGAGTGCTGACCATGGAGTTCCGTGTTCAGCAGTGTGTTAGACTAGGGATAGTTATTTATTCAAAATCTAAGGGAGAAGGCTATCCTAGGATGAAGTTTTGAGCTGAGACCAAGGCAAAGACCTAGGAACCAGACAGAAGTAATCTTGCTTTCCTGTAACTGAGAGAAACAGTTGACCTTAGATTGGAAATTATAAGTAAAGGAGAGCTGAAAACAACTATAAAAATCCATATCAAATCCAATTTACTTGTGTCAAGCTGAACTGAATAATAAAATGGTGTACTTGTAAATTCTGTATTTTATATATAGCTTGTACCCAAAAATTCTCTCTTTTTAATAGTAGCATGTGCATTTTGTAGCAGTTGATGAAAAGTGTTGTTGAAGAACAGACACAATTAGGGCAGTTAGTTGGCACAGTGGATAGAGCACCAGCCCTGGATTCAGGAGGACCTGAGTTCAAATCCGACCTCAGACACATAACACTTACTAGCTGTGTGACCCTGGGCAAGTCACTTAACCCCATTGCCTAGCCAAAAAAAAAAAAGAACAGACACAATAAGGAAAGAGGGGCACAGGAGGGAAAGTCCATACAATCCTGTATTTACAGGAGAAAACAAGCATCTCATGAGTGGTGGTAGCAGAAAGTTTCCAAAGCGAAAGCAAAATAATCTGAAGAACGTCCTCTTTGGAGGCCATCCATGGGCTTATTTCCTTATATCAGCCAAAAGAGACTTACAACTGCAGCCTCTTAATATTGTCACCAAGATTTTACAGAAATATCTTGCTTTTTAAAGTATAGGGTTATAGATTTAGAGGTGAAAGAGACCTAAGAGGTCATTAAGTCTAACCTCCTCATTTTGTAGATGAGGCAACTAAAGAAAAAGTTAAGTGGCTTGTCCAAAGTCACACAGCTAGTAAATGTCTAGGGCAAGATTGGAACCCAAAGGTCTTCCTGACTCCCAAGTCCAGTACCCTATCCACTATACTGTGCTACCTTAATATTAAAGAACTTTAGTAAAAGCCTACACAAAATTGTGCCTGGAAAATTAAAAGTCCTGAAAATGGGGTTGCTGCCTCCCTCCTCAGTTAAGATGCTAAGAAAAAAGGAGATCTGGTAATTTATCAAAACATTCTCATACTTGTAATTCTCCTAACTTATTTCACAAAAACCTGTGTTAGAAAAAGTATATAATACAAAATAATACCAATAACACAAAAATGCTAGTCGTTGAGACCCTGCCTGAGTACCACTAATTATTGCCATATGACTTTCCAAAAGATGGAAAACCTCATTTTATCTTTTACCTTGCAGCAGGCGTTCCTTGAATCACTTCATATACGAAGACCCCAGAATTCACGTCAGGGAAATCTGGATCCTGATTCTTCATTTCTTGGAGAAGGCTAAGAAACAAGGGCAGGTTTCCATGATGTTAAAATTAAAAGTGATGAATGAAATATTGTGGAACCAGTGTGTGTTTCATTACAAATCATTTGGTCTCTAGGATGTAGGGAAGTACTTTACTCGGGTTAATAGTCACAGGATTCCACTGTTCTTGAACTCCTCAGGGATAATCATTTCATGAAATATATATATATATATAAATCAACAAACATGTATGACTGAAGAAAGAGATGGGTAGTCATAAAACAAGGGATAATGGCTGAAGTAAGTGTGAGAGTATTAATGAAATTTTTAAAAAGCCAGAGGGGGCTGCTCCATGGGAGGGGGGCAGAGTTGTGAAAGGACAAAAGAAGGCAGAGATGGGTTATATGAGTGGAGGGCATACCCACATCCCTGAGATCTAGATCCATTGAGATAGCACTAGGTATAACCATAACCTGGCTCTATACAGAGCCCTAGAATCCACAGTACTACTACTGCTGCAGGATGCACAGCATGAGAACTGATCAAAGCAGTGAGTCCAAAAGAATGAGGATGAAGCATGCTACTCTTCTGACAGGATGAAATTGACAGACAGAGGTATACATTTTCAGCTGTGGTTAAACTGGGAATTTGTTTTGCCAGATGATATTGACATGTTGAGGACTTTGGGGTTTTGGTGTTTTTTGGTTTTTAATTTACTTAATGGTTAACAGTGTGGTGGGTGGTGGTAGGGAGGGATAGATTCATTAAAAAATGCTTGTCACTTATAAAAAGATCAACATAATTTTCATGCCCCTCTACACATCCATAGAAAGCTGTAAGAGATGGAAATTACAAATGATACCACTGTAAATTAGGGTGGTCACTATTTATTGTGATATTCATCAAGGTAAGCCAGAATGGTAAGGGTTAGGAAATTAGCTAGAGTCCAATTGCTTTTGCTCTTCCAGGTTTTCCATCATATTCATGCAGTTGACCTACAACTACAGCATGTAAATGCGTGCACAAAGTTACACACTTACCTCATAGAAAGAGGCAGCATCCGGAGGCCTAAATATTTCTTCTGTGAAAGAACTTTTCCTGAAAATAAAGAATCTAATGAGTTGATGACACCCACCAGTCTCCCTCCTCTGGAACAGAGCTCAAAATACAGATGCTTCCATATGACAATCTGTTTTTCCCAATTGTCAGCTGACAAATTTGTCATTACTCCCCAAGAAGTTGTATTTCTGTAGGAAAGGAGTCAAGAATTCCCATGCACAAAGTTTATGCTTAGGTTATAGTTTGGTCTAGACATTCTGGCCACCATTACAGGAATGGATCACCAATACCCCAGTTTTTGTTAGGGTACATATAAACTTTTATGGAGAATGCTAAGAATTGAGAATGGGAGCATGAAGAATCCTGTGATCTTCCTTACCTTTTAACTGGCGCTGATGAAATTCTGCCAAGAATTGTCGAATTCGATCTGAGGGAATAGCAAAGGAAATTCCTGCTGTCACCTTCAGAGTGTTTATGCCAATGACTTCACCATCCTAGCAAGAGAGAAGATAGACTTCAGTCAGTGAATTTTGTGCAAATAAGCAATATTGAGCCAAAGGAGCAATTACCCTATGGTCAGAAGGCACTATGGCTGGTGGAATTTTATACCCCTTAAACAGATTCAGTAGGGGAAAGATTCAGTAAGATTCCAGGTATGCTAGGATAGCTAAGGCTACATACAGTCATGGAAAAACTACCATGTATACATTCAGTCCCAGTTGCCAAGAAAATCAAGAAATTCTTGATTTTGTATTTTGTGTCATGAGCTAATTCTTTCACTCTTGAAATTCAATTAGTTTGAGAAGTGAATTAGGAGCTTCAGTTTCAGAAGGCAAGTGATGGGCCAATGCCTAGGAGATCTCTAATCTTGATTAGAAATAAAAGTGGACGGGGATCTCCTCATAGCTCCCATTTCTACGTGCTCAGGGATTTACCAACCACTTCCCTCACGAAATCTCTTTAAGAGGGATAGTGCAAATGGCCCCATTTTGCATCTAACAAAATATCTAAGACTTAAAATAAATACAATTTTTTTTTACTCTAAATCCAGTGCTCTTTCCATTATGCCATCCTGCCTTTCAATATCTGGTGAACTGCTTCTAACTGTTTAGAGCAGGAATTCTTTCAAGATCTTTTGTATGTCATGGTTCTCTTTGGCAGTCTGGTGAAGCCTGTGGACTCCTTTTCCAAATAATGTTTTAGGCAATTAAAGAAAATACCTAATTTCAGTTAGAGGTTAGTGAAAATGAGGAAGTAATTTTTCATATCAAAATTTATTGCCCACCCTCTCCCCAAAATCTATCTATAGACCCCAGGTTAAGAACCCCTTGTTTAGAGAAACAATCATGGTTGGCCATGGGTGATGCAAACAAACCAGGAGAGATTTCCCTGTGTATTTCCCTTGTCAGTTAATTGGTGTTTTTGTACTTTGTGTTGTAAAAATAACGCACAGACCCTAAACCTGCTTTAGCATTTAAGAAAGGACTTCCTCTTCCCCCCCAATCAATAAAAAAATAAGAACTGAAATTCAGAGTACATCACCAAATGCAATGGATCAGATGAATTATTTATTTCATTACTTCATTTTTATTAGAAACCAGATACTGAAACATTTCCACTAGAGATCTAATAAAAAGTTTAGAAGAAATTAATGAGGCACAGCAACTGTTCCTCTGGTTAAGACTGAAACTTTCTCTAATATATAATATGCTATATACAATGGAGAGTTTGGGGTAGAGGTAAGTTTAACCCAACATATTGAACCAGGGGGTCTTAAGGTTATTAATGCTGCAAAACCATTCAGTTACTTGAGGTCAAAGATGGCTTTTGTTTTCTTTGTATCCCCAGTATTTAGCCCAGTGGCTGGTACATAGTAAATATTTAATAAATACTTTTGGGGAAAAAATGCTTTGTTGACTGACTATCAGTCTAAGGAGTTTTTATTTTTTGTCCAGCAAAAAAAAAAAAAGCACATATTGACTATTTCTCTTTTCTGACCACCATTTTGAATGAAAGGAAGAAGGGAAGGAAAGAAGGAGAGTGAAAAAGAGAAAGAAATTTTTAAAAGTTTGAAGGGAAACTGAAGGCTGGCAAGTTTTCTTTCCAATGAAGTCAAAGGTTTTGGATTTTCTTTAACAGTTTCCTCTAGCTCAAAGAACGGAACAAACGTCTCTTCACAGGTCTCCTCAAACATTGATGTCCAACCTCACGGAATTTGGAAAGACCTTAAATATTAAGAAGAGGTTTAGGGCAACAGAGAAAAAGCAGCTACTTACCAAGTTCAGCAGAGGCCCCCCAGAATTCCCGTGCTGCAAGACAGAATTAGAGAACAGCAGTCACAAGTGCCAGACAAAGAATCCCATCTAGTCAATTACTACATATACTGTCCTCAAAAAGCAGGGCTTTAAAGCTTTTAGTTGCTTCTGGTGTTGGAGATAATATGTTATATTGCCAGAGAATTCTTTACAAGAAATACCAACCCAGTTAGATTAGCGCTCAAATTCAGTACCTTTTATAGTAATATTCAAAGGAATCTAACACAATGAACACCAGTTAGCATTGTTACACTTCAAAGATTTGTGATTGAATTAGTGTGGTACACTCTTTTTAATACCAATCACAACTCTTCTAAAACACAAGCATCTTCATGAGTTGCTGTGGCTGAAAAATTCATCTCCCTGTAGTGAAGAACCCCTTCAAACTTAGCCAGAATGTGCCCTAAAATGCCAACATATAGCCAGGTCTATACATAAGTCAATCAACAAGCATTTATTAAGTGCCTATTTTGTGTCAAGCACTGTATTGTGTACTGAGGATATGAAGATGAAAACACAACAGTCCCTGTCTTCAATGAGCTTATATTCTAACAGGCAGAGCACTATGTACACAACTAACTATATTTAAACATACACAACAATGTGTGTGCACATGTAAACAATGTGTGTAAAAGTAAATGTACACAACAAACTAAAGATATAAATTTATATATAATTTCATGTAGTTACATGAAGATGTTTCAAAATATATATGTATATATTGGGTAGCTGTTTGATTTCATTAGTGCTGGAAGCCCTCAGTGAGGAATTTTCTCTACCAAAAATAAATATATATATATATATATATATGTATATATAATATATATACATATATATGTTATATATTATATATAATATATATATACATATATATATGTTATATATTATATATAAAAAAGAATCTTCTCTGCAATGAAGAGTTTTAGAGAGATGCTTGGGCCACTGAGAGATCAAATGACTTATCCATAGTCACTTAGCCAATATGTGCTAGAAGTGGATTCAGCTATTCCCAAGTCTGAGGACAGCTCTCTATCTACTATAACGAACTTCAGGTAAACACTTGAGGTCATTCCAGCTTAGTAGGACCTGCTAGAAATTGTTATCCCCTGGCAAAACCTTGAAGAACCCAAAGTCACTGACATGACATGATGAAGCAAGACAGACTCATGGTAAAAAGAAATAAAAATATTTAGAGACTGATCCCTCAGGATGTATTTCATGACTGCTGCTGAGGATCAGGTGAATTCTGGACATCAGGAAGCCACTCACAGAGGGAGGGAAGAAAGGTCTGAATATTTCTCTCACTTTACATGATAAGAGAGTGGACCTCCTGAGTTGACTTACATTGATGATGGCATCAGTCTGGATGTAGTCCATGTCAGAATCCTTTAGACCCAATTCCTTGCCCTCCTCGTTGAGTGGTGCTGACAATTCCTGCAGTCACCGTATTCTGAAGGGAGAAGGGGCTGCCTAGAGCCACCACAAACTCCCCTGCCTGCAGGTTGGATGATCGTCCCAGGAACAAAACAGGAAGGTCAGTCTGCATTGTGGGCAGAGGTGAGGTGAGGGGGAAGTGGACACAATACAAACAAGAGAAAATTGTGATTAGCTACTGGTTATATACATATTTATCTTTGTGTGCAGTCCTGAGTCTAAAAATCTCTTCCCTACACCCACAAAGGCTATCAAATAGTTCTCCCCTAATTTCCAACATT